GATATATCATGGACTGCCAAAAGAACAAAGAAATAATTCTTGGAAGAAGTGCAGTCACCAAAATTTCTTCGAAGCAAGGATGATGAAACTTCATCTCACATATATTAGACATGCCATCAGTAGGATCCAGTGTATCGAGGACTGCATGCTTGGAATAGCAGAGGATCAGTGAGGGAGAGATGAATTGATGCAGTGACCCTAACATTGGATTTAAGCACAGCAGTGCTTGTGATGCTAGTGGAGGATTAGACAAGATTTTTACCTGTTTGTTGTATGTAGTCTCACTATAAATTGTAGTTGAGCCTCTGGTGGCCTAGGAATAAGGCATTGCACTGCCAACCCAATGGAACACCATTCGAATTCACCAGCTGCTTCAAGAGACAAAGATGGACAATTTCCTCCTATGTGATTTACTGCCTCTGAAAATCTGCTAGAGATTTTCCTATGAATTGGGTCTATTTGGGGGGAACACACAATAAAAACAATGGCTTAAAAATGGTGCTAAGATTATAAACAATATTTACAAATTGACAGATTTAATAGATTTCAAATTTTAGTAAAATCTGTACATGATTTCATGGAAGTAATCAATGGAAAAGTAGTGGCAAAACTATTAATATCTACTGTGTAAATTTTTATTTTGACTGGGATAATTGGGATGGGAGTGTCAGAGACAGTGCGATTGGCACAGGACAGGGCTGAGTTTAGGGCTGTTGTACATAGGGTCGCTATGAGTCGCAGGCGACTCAACGGCACATAACAACAACAACAACAACAACATTGCTTCCAGGGAATTTTCAATCTGACAAAATGGCAAGTCAATGTGATGTAAAATTGTAATGCATTTTGACACTCGTTCTTTTATCCTATGTGTATGTCTGTGTGCATGCGCCATTGAATGCATTCCAAATAATATGAGCCATCTGTTAGGACAAAGTAGAAGCGCTCTATAGAATTCCCTCTAATCTTTGCTCTTGTGGTTATGTACCCTCTAAGCAGAAACGACTTATAAGTGATCTTCTAGTTGGTTCAGAGGCAGCAAATCACACTAGGAAATTGCCCATTTTCCTTCAGCAAAGGAGGCTGTAGATTCAAACCAACTGCCTTTGGGTTGACATCACATGAGTTATAGTTCATTTTTTCATGTTTGAACACTAGAAAACCACACAAAATTTAACTCATTGCTATGAATCCAGTTAAACTAAATATCATGAGCTGATATGATTTTTTGTAACAGTAAAAAGATAAAATTTATATGGTACAGTTATTTATTATGAGACCTGGACTAGCCCTCTCTGTCATTCTCACTAATGATAATGAACTTAAACCTTATCCCAGGAAACCGGTTGGAAAATGTCTAAAGTTTCTGCATGCTATAAGACTGTTTTCCCCGTGTTGTTGTCGTTGTGTGCCGTTGGGTCGTCTGTGACTCATAGCAACCCTGTGTACAACAGCTCTGAAATCTGTCCTGTCCTGAGCCAGTCTCTTTGCCTTCGACACACCGACTCCCATATTCCCACCAATTACTGTATCAATCCATCTCATCTGGGGTCTTGCAAGTGCCTTTATTCTAAATTTTGAAATCTGGGTCTAGAATCAGGACATGAACTAACTCTACACATTGCTGTGTTGGTTACGTGCAGTCAAGTCACCTGTGGCCCATAGTGGCCTTATGAATAGTTGCTCTGAACACTGCCCTGGCCTGAGCCAGTCTTACTAATTCTGACACAACAACCCTCATTCACTTGAAAACTAGTTAACTCAGATCCCAGAACAAAGTAACTACCAATATCTCCAGGGGGTTCTAGCGCTTGCAGTTTTTACTCTGGAGGCTTTGGTTACAGTGCAATAAGAACCATCTCCCTAAGCAAATGGAGTTCAGAAGAAAATAGGAAAAACTTCCTAACTTCTACATGCACCTGATGGGAAGTAAGGGTTTAGGAGGATGAATTCTTATCTGTAGCCAGTTTTGAGCTCAAGGAAGAAAGTGGTAAGTGATGAGAATGGAAAGGGGAAACTGCTTGGAGAACAAGAGAAATGAGAACAAGAGAATTTACTGCAAAATGATCTTTTAGATATTTGAACAGTCACTCTTGTCTTCATTTTTACACAGGTGGAGGCAAACAAATCTCTATGTGTTGCTAATTTCTGTCTTCATTTCAAATTTTCTATCTTTCTAGCTTCAGGTCTCTTTCAATGAAATTATATTTTTAATCTAAATATTGTATAAAATACCCCTAGTCTGAACCTATGGTATATCAAAGCAAAATATGCCTCAAAGGTAAAATTTATCTTAAACCGTTCAAGCAGAAGAGCTGAATTAATGTTATCTGGTAAAATAAAGATAGTTAATTATCTGTATTCCTTTATCCAGAAGCTGTTGCTAACTATTTTGGAAAAGTTAATGTCCAGAGGTTCATGTCAATGACTATAAAATACCTAAGGATAAGATTTTCAGATAAATTTAGCTGTAAATTGCTTATGATGCACTTTACTTAAATATTTATATGAAAATAAAGGGAGGTTTCAAATTATAGTATGATATTATCTATTTTAGGGTTTATACTGAAAGTGTAGCACGTGTGACATTACCAAATTCACCAGAGCTTTTTGTTTAACAATGTTCTTAAATAACAGATCAACTATTTTATAATCATCTTTCTTGATCCATGTATACCTTGTAATGATGTCAGAATGTAGGTATTTTGTCTCCTTTCCTAAGAAATTTAGATGTAGGCAAAGATAGCAGATCACATAGAAACATAATTTAGCCTCAATTTTAGAATCTGTTTCTGAATATTGTGCCATGTCAAAGACACCAAAGATCACCTGGATAGTGCAAATGTTTATTACGTTCAATTGGTAGCGGAAATGCTCAAGACAGTCAGAGGTGGCTTTGAAGAACTGATAGCTATGTACTTCCAAATAGAGTTGCTGTTGTTGTTAAATGCTGTTGAGTTGTAGGCAACTCATAGCGACCCTGTGAACAAAAGTCCTCGACACTTGCCTGACTTTCACCCTTTCTCCAGGTTTATAGGGTTTCCAGAGGCAAGTTATTTTGGAAGTGCATGCCACTCCTGCTTCCAAGCTTGTTTTATTCGGGGGCTCCGCCAAACACTGTCCACCATGAGTAACCCTTCTTGCATTTCGCACATCAGGGTCACAGTGTTCGGCATCACAACCACCACGAGTTACCTCTGTACAGCAAATAAAGTTAGTGTTTTTTTTTTTTTAAAAAAAAATCTATGGGCACAGTTCTAATCTGAAACAGTGGAGTGAATATCAGGGTCAACTCAGCAGCAACTAGTTTCAATGATTTATTTATTCGATTATCGACCTATATATGTATGTATGTATTTACTTACTTACTTAGGGTCTGTGATCTAATGCCAAATAATAGATGAAGTCCAGTTATAGGTTCCTCTTTCAAATATTCTCCTCTCAATCTTCTATATTAAAATACAATATTTTTGTATATATTTGCTTATGCAAATATATTTTCTCCATCATTACTTTAACTACTTGTGAGTTATTCTTTTATGCTCTTAACTTTGTTATTTATCTGATGTTAATTAATAATAGCAATATAAAGTCAACCTTATCTTTCAAATACTTTCAGTCTCTTATGCAATTTGAAGATTGACAGTAGCTTGTGTTTCTGTTTGCAATCTTCCTAAATTTGATAGTTTATAATTAGACTGAGTATTTTTGCCTACCAGAACCTTGGCTTGCTGTCACAATTATCTTTCTTTTTATCTATCTACCTGTGTAATACTTTAATAAATATATGTTTATAACTAATAAAGTAATAGTTAATGGAAGCAATTAAGTGTAGTGAAAGACAGGAGAGATTGAGTTCAAGGAGTGTTGTGTATAAATTAACTCAATAGCTGATTATCTTGTGATGTTTCATAAATGTGATTTTGGTCCATATTAATGTATAATATTTTGTTTCTTTCCTTAGCCCACAGCACAAAGACACTTCAAAGTGAAAAGGGTATATTTGCCTATCATCAAAGCAGAAGTGAAAAGAGATGGACATGTTCTAGTATAAGCAAAACTGGATAGAAGGTGTCCTTAATAAAACATCAAGGCAGAGTAAACCTTTGATTTTTACATCAACAAGAAAGAGATAGAAAAATTGCTATGGATGAGAAATAGTCTTGGGGTTTAAACATTAGAAGTCTTGTACGGATCTAACATGGTTTTAAGAAGTTCTGGTTTGCTGTTTCTGATTCCTTTTAGGATTGTGTTACATACATAAATTCAGCTTGGATATGCAGCATATTTTTAATTTTTTTGACTGCCATCATGGTTACATTGTGTTCCTTGTTATGTGTCCATATAATATGTTATTAAGTAATTTTCTGTACAACAATAAACGTCACAATAACTTTATACACAAAGTGGTATAAGAACTTTATCTTAGAAATCACTGCGTGCATTGAAATCACCGATTGTATACATTCTTAATTATTGTCTTGTACTGTTGAGTTGGAACTAACTCATACCTGGCCCTCCAGTGGATTTTCAGAGGCAGTAAATTGCAGAGATGGAAACTGTCCATCCTTCTCTTGTAGAGCAGCTGGAGGATTCAAATCGCACACTTTTGCATTGGCAACGTAATTCCTTACCACTGAGTTAAATGACATGTGTAAAGGAATCTTTTCTATTGCATTTTTTACTATCACTCTTAGAGACTGGTATATGTGTGGTAGATAGTCAATATTAGTTTAACTAAAATACTGAATTTAATAGAATGTATATGATGATGTCTGTTGAAATCAGGTAGCTACATTTTAACTTATTAAATTTTGTGTATTTTCAGGCTTCTAAGACAATAATATGGATATAATGTGATGGAATTTTTAGTTATTTTCTTCTTTTGTTTATTTTTATTATTATTATAAATATTTCACATGGAGGAATACAGAAGTTTCCCAGTGAATGAGAGATAGTTGGTCTGTGGTATATGTTGTTGCAAGAAAATCCCCAGAAGAATGGCCTCACCCAATATCACTCTATTCCATCCCTATTATTTCCTCCTTCTGGGGATTCCTGGGCTGGAAAGTGTACACGTCTGGATTGGCTTCCCATTCTGTGCTGTGTACTTGACTGCTGTCCTTGGAAATGTCTGCATACTTTTTGTGATTCAAACTGAACGTAGCCTCCATCAGCCTATGTTTTACTTCTTGGCCATTCTGTCATCTATTGATCTAGGATTGTCCACATCCACCATCCCCAAGATGCTTGGCATCTTCTGGCTCAATCTACAGGAAATCTCCTTTGAGGGATGCCTCATCCAAATGTTCTTCATCCACTTATGCACTGGCATGGAGTCAGCTGTGCTTGTGGCCATGGCCTATGATCGCTTTGTGGCCATCTGCAATCCTCTTCGTTACACACTGGTGCTGACAAACAGAGTGGTGTTCATCATTGCATTGGTAATTCTCCTAAGGCCATTGTCTTTCGCCATACCCTTTGTTCTCCTCATCCTTAGGTTACCATTTTGTGGACACCAAATTATCCCTCATACTTACTGTGAGCACATGGGCATTGCCCGCCTGTCCTGTGCCAGCATCAAGATCAACATTATCTATGGCTTATGTGCAATTTCTATCCTGGTATTTGATATCATAGCCATTGTCATCTCTTATGTCCAAATTCTCCGTGCTGTCTTTCGACTGCCATCCCATGATGCCCGGCTCAAAGCACTCAGCACCTGTGGCTCCCATGTGTGTGTCATGTTAGCTTTCTACACACCTGCATTTTTTTCATTCATGACCCATAGGTTTGGAAAAAACATACCACGTTACATACACATTCTTCTTGCTAATTTCTATGTTGTCATTCCACCTGCTCTCAACCCTGTAATTTATGGTGTCAGAACAAAACAGATTAGAGAGTGGGTACTAAAATACTTTTTAAAAAATAAAATGTAACTTATCTATTAAAAAAGAAGCCACCCTAATAAAAGGGTGACACTGATTCTCTAAGTCAAAATGAAAGGAAAATAGTTGGAAGTTATCCCAGACTATGTTGGAAGAAGATTCTCAATGTCAAATTGTTTTGCTTTGAAACCTCTTTTCTCAAATTCAGGACTAAGTAGTCTAGCCCATAAAAAAAATGCACATTTTAAAAAATAATGTAGATCCCTTAAGGGAATAAAACCAATACATTTTTCAGCTTCCATAATGACTAACACATCATATTCCAGAATCAGTGCCAGTTTTTACAAGGATTAAGTGGAACTAACCAACCAATCAGGAAGATAAAAAGGACAAAGATAAACTCTGTGTGCTGAATTTAAACAAAGACAGTGAGTCACCCTGCCTGAGGCTGGTTCTAAAAATAACAAGCAATAGGCAATATCCATTATCCATGAACTCCCCACCAAAAAAGAAATATATATTCTTGACTTTGCCATACTAATCTTTGAAGACATGGAAGCCACTGTGAACATGATAATCATGTGGGTAAGATCCGAGTTTTCTCCACATACCGATAGAAACTTGATAATCTTTGTAAATTTATAATCTGTATTACTTCAAAGACTTGTAGGGCTTTTTCCTACCTTTTTAAATTGTGTTTGACACCATTCTTCATTAATATTGTGTTTATGCAATCATTTCCATGCATTATGTTTTATAAAATCAATCCCCATTGGCCCTTACCCCTCATTGCCCAAACTTTTTAGGTCCCTTATGGATCCTTCCCATTTCCATTACTCCCTCCCTCCACTCACCAGACTGTTTGGTGAGAATTAGTTGGGGTGAAACCGCGGGGTTGCAGAGTTTACAGTAAAAACTAGTTTGGGTTTTTTTCCCTTTAATCTTACTGGTCTGTGACTTATCAGAATCTTTTTACAAAGAAACTACTCTTTTTGTATATGATTTGTCTCTGTGTTTCTCTTTCATGTTCCCTACGTACACACACCATTGGAGAGTTTTAGCATGGTCCATTGTTGTAATTATTGGTAACTTTCCAATTCCTGTCCTACTCAATTGTTTTGTTGGTTATTGTGCATGTGGACGAGGAAGGCCTATTGACATCTAGTTCCTTGCATAGTGCTTTCAAGTTCCATGTAGTGTAACTGATATTGTACATATAAATGACTTACAGGAAAATATATTTGTGAGATACCAAGTTAGGGGAAATGGAAGGTTACACTGTAAAATTCTCAGTGAGAGGAGATATATGTATATATATGTCCAACAAATAGGAACTGATTTATTGGTGATCATTAGGTTTTTAAAGGCTGTAAATTATGTAGGAGATTACCCATATTTCTTCCACGAAGCCACTTATGTTGCCAAACCAACACTTCTTACCGGCAATGCCAGAGTTTGCTTATATGTATAAAATATACAGTATAGTTAAATGTTCTATATAATTATATAATATATAAGGCTATATATTATATTAAAGAATATATATAAACATATAAAGAGATAGATAAGTAGATAGGTAAACATATAGATATATTTCTTGGTATGTTGTTGTTGTTGTTGTTGTTGTTATGTGCCGTTGAGTCGTTTCCGACTCATAGCGACCCTATGCACAACAGCCC